TTTATGTTCTCTATTTCACTATTTATTCCTCCACGGTATATTTCTTCCACTTAGAGATGCAGCTTCGCAAGTTTTCACGGGGCGCACGATCGTCTCGACTGTGTCCCTTTGACCTCACGCTGTAAGATGAGATTTGTTCGCTCGACGAGACCGACTGCGTTTAATAATCTCGCGATAATCGATTACAGCAACAACGACGATTCGCACGCCGCGCCGTCGCGTCGCTCGCCCGTTTGCTCGGTCCGCTGCAACGTGGAAACGGCCTGGCTCGCCAGCTCGCTCGCTTGCTCTTACGACATTCCATGTTTTCGATTAATAAGACCAAGCGTGCTATAGCAAACAGCGCTTTTCAGCGCACCGCATCGCTGTCGCGTTCCTGAAATCTCGCGAATGTCGCGCATTTTTTCGCTGTACCGCACGCCAAGCGATATCGTAGCTCAGTTCCTCAGACAGCGTGGCTTTTGTAACACTCTCTGCGTCTCCACGAGCGCATCATTCTAGGATCCAGACTCAAATACGAAAGGACATTAGAGCCTATGTTGCGCCTCTCTCCGCTAGAAGCGATCATATATCTTATCTCGAGAAATCCTAAGTTGCATGATCATGCTTTCGTAAAACCGTTAACTCCATCATTCTTCCTGGACCTATCTTATTTGGTGATAATACTTCTTCGTTTTCGAAACAAAAAAACGAGATGTCGTTAGAATTTGCATATGTAGTCTCTTATTAGCAACATTAGTTTCAGATTAACTCGTGGATGTAAAAAATAACTAGATAGATTATAAGTTTATATGGACAACAAGGATTATAATTAAATGAAAAAAATGAACTATAGCAAATCTGAATGATCATGTGTAAATGATAATACCTATAATTGTATGCTTGATGACATTAATTAAATAAAAAAACATAATTTAATACTTGATACACTAATTGAATAAAAAATAATCATATCAAACAAAAAATTTTTAAGGAGTGTTGAATTCGTGCAGAATCTGAATTATACACAGTTGTTTTTCTTTCTCTTAATTTGATCACTGCATAAGAATTATTGCAGGATTGCAACCATGATTTCTTTACTCTAATTTATTTCCAGGTATTCGCGTTTACGTTTGATCGCGGATCATATTTTTACACGGTGACCGATTCAGTCAGGAAATACGATTGCGATGCAAATTTCATGCACCAAGCGCAGAAAGGTTTACGAGTGTTCCCGTTGTCTGAGTCCTGCGATAACCGATATCACTGTCACCGGGATTTTAGTAGTCTCTCGATCGTGAAAAACATACGTTTGCACTTTATGTTTACGAGTGCACATACCACTCCGCGATTTATAAGCTGTAATGTATGTACGTAGCTCCGGAAATAATAGGTCTGTATTTTAAAGCATGATGAGGTAACGAATCATTCTTCGCCATCACGTTCTAATTTCTTACTATTTTTACATTATATATATATATATAGATTTGAAAAAAATAAATATTTCAGAGGTTAATCGAAGATTTTCCTTTATTAGTACCATATAAAAATAAATAAAAGATGTATATCGCATATACAAATTCACGGATATTTGAATTCTATTTCTGGTTTCTCTTTCTGTTTAAATTAAATTTATCTGTATTATAAATAAAATTTTAAACAGAGATAAATTTCAATACTTTATTATTTCATATTTTAATTACAAATTAATCTCGCCATCTAACACGAAATCTATCGCACAGAAAAACGAATCATTTTTCTCGTTTTTTACGTGTGAGTATCTTCGTATAGCTATGTGAGACGAAAACTATCACAACCGTTTTCCAGTGGCAAGGGGCGATCAGAGCGACATACATGGAACGATAAATCTTATTTGTTTCCGTGTCGATGGGCAGCTCCGACACCATCGAAAGAATGAGTTCATATCTTCGGGGCAGAATGGAGTCTATATTAGTCCCATCTGCCTTCTTCAGAAAGGCTTCTGCATGAACGAACATTTATACTAGGACGAGACTGCGACAGACAAAAAGAAAAACGGACGGCCGAACGCGTAGATACATCCGGATTATATGCGGCCAATTGATCACGAATCTGACGTTGTCTGCAGTGCCTCTCTTGTTGCCATACATCGGTGGATTTACAGCAGTTTTTTTTTCACATGAAACATCACTGTACAATCATCAACGCATCGTGACCAATGATCAAACAAGAATACGATTCTCTGTAAAAAAATTATTCTTACAGTCTATCATGCAATAATCGTCATCTTTAAGTTTTATGTAACTGAAATCTCCTAACGCGCTTTTTTGCATTCGTCGTCTGCACAATGGGAAATACTAATAATATGTGTCCGTTCGGATACATCCGTATTTACAGAAAGACTTCATTTAATTCACTGCACTGAGAAAAAAGATTTTATTAATTTAATAAGGCTACCAATACCTGTAACAAAATGATTTATAGATATATAGTGATAAATGTCGGTACTGAAAACAAATACAAGATTTTTCTATCATAGAGACTGATGGTAATTTGCTATTCCAATCAATTATTGCAATAGAAGCAATCATGTATCTGCTGGATTTTTATTTGCTAGCAGTACTAATTATTTGCAAAAAGTACAAATAACGATTTAGCAAATATGATTTGTATCGTAAATCGTGTATTATTTGTTACATTGACGAATAATGAGAAAATGATTGGCAATAATAATTGATCGATTTGTTTTCCTATCAAATCATCACATTTGTTATCATTTTTTGTTCTAATAAAAAACTTATTTCTCTCAGTGCAATTTCCTTTGCGCGCGCGCGCGTTATTCCATAAAATAAAATAATTAAATTATTAACTATGTAAATAAAAAGATACGTTTCTCAAATATTACACATATTAATTTTCTTTCGTATCGCTTAACAAATAAATCAATCTAAACACAAATTGAACATTGACTACACATCTCTTCTAACTTTAATAAAAAATTACTATTTGCTCACATGCATACAACTTCAAGATGAAATTTTATTATGAAAATCGTTTGTTTATTCTTTCCAAAATCAGCTATTAATCGAGAAAAATAATACAGAACTATCGACAAATACAAATGTGGAAGAAGAATTAAGATCGCGAGTAAAAGATGAGAAGAATAAAAGGATCATAAGAAGCGGCGAAGGTAAAAGGATATTTGTGAATGAATAGGTAAAAGGAAAAAAGAAAACAATAGAGAGAGCAAGCCAAAGAAAGGGAAGAGATGAAACAGAGAGAAGATAAAATGGAGAAAAAGAGAGTCACGTGCAACAAGAGATGCATTTTACGTTCGAAACCAGTTTCTATGGTTTAATTTCCACGAGTGGACACATCTTCCTAATTTATAGCATCGATATACCCCGTCTCGCACCATTGCGGCCCGACCTCGCCCCCGTGCGTCTTTCGACATTTTATTGGATCGACCAGCCGCTTTGTGACCCGCTGGATCTTTAATACGATCGTGGCGCATCGTCAAGAGACCCCGAAGTTTCGAAAAAAAAAAAACGTATCGCCCTAACAACAAAGATCTCGTCGGCTTTCGGTCGCATACAGTTTTGATTCATTTAACTCGTCGCTGTGCGCTAAATTTTTTTTTTAATGTAATAGATATTTAAGATTTATCATATCCCACATTAGTGACACAGGATTAAAATTTAGGCAATACAAAGTAAAAACGATGTGAAAAGAATATCGATAAAGGATTATGAAAAATCGATCGCGCTTTCCATACGTCAGTATGGTGATGATCCTCAAAATACTGCGCTTATTTACAAATCATGCTCAGAAGACAAGGTTCCCAATAGGAGGTCGTGTATTCCACGAAAAAATCTCCACTGTCTAAACTGTCTTTACAAACTGCCGCATAGGTATGATAGGAGAAAAATATGGCCGCTACGAATGACAAAGCCATGTCGTAAAATACGACTGACTAAAGGATTCATGCCGCGTACTCACGATTATTTGCGGTGTGATTAGTCGTCGAGGGAATGTGGAAACCACATGCGTGCACCATTTAGCATACGCAAATAAAAGCCGTATTAGCGACGTAAGAAGTCTTTGCTCAAACCGCGAGCATCGCGAAAAGACTCATCTCTCCGCAGCCGAATTCTGGAGCGTCGTAAGATGCTATTTCAAATACCAAACAGTGACAAGGAAACTTCTTGTCTACACTTGAGAAACCGCCATAATATTCGCCACATTGGAGAAAACTGAAAATACCTGTGACTTCAATCAGGAAAAAACGTGTTACGTGGAAAATCCATTGGCGTGATCATTTAAACGCCTGTATGACATGATAATAATAGAAAATTATACTTATTCAGCTATAAGAAAAAAATGAGGCATAAAAAAATTCATGCATACATCATTATAAAAATTATAACAGTTTTTCCGTGTTGAAATATTCAGATAAACAGAAAAAAATGTTTATCATCGCCTTCATTATTCATTAATAAAATAATATATGTATAATAAATCTCAAAACTCATTGTACTCAAATAAATTTACAAAAAGATTAAATATTAATGATAATTAATAAATGGTAATTAACATTATTATAATTAGCATGTAATTGAAATAATTTTTAATCAACTTAGCAACAATAGAAGGAAAAGAGAAAAGAAGAAAAATAATACAGGAATTGTGCAAAAGTAACAACTTACTGTGCTCCTCTCTTTCTTTCTCTCTTTCTTTCTCTTTCTCCTCTTTGCTCATATTACATATATATATATATATATA